GTGCAAAGTAGGGGAGCAAAAATACATTTTTGTGATGGTGGACGACTATTCCAGATTCACTTGGACTCTGTTCCTTAGAATAAAAGATGAGACTTTTGAAGTTTTTATAGCCTTTGTGAAGAAAATTCAAGTGAAAATGGAATCAAAAGTAGTATGCATTAGACCAGATCATGGAACAGAATTTGACAATGCTAAGTTTGATGATTTCTGCAACGAAAATGGCATTACCCACAACTTCTTAGCCCCTAAAACTCCACAACAAAATGGAGTTGTGGAAAGGAAAAACAAAATCCTTGAAGAAATGGCAAGGAAAATGCTGATCGATAGTGGGATTGCTAAGAATTTTTGGGCTGAAGCTGTCAACATTGACTGCTACTTGGTGAACAGGTGCATGATCAGGTCTCTCTTGAACAAACCTCCATATGAGTTGCTGAATGGAAGAAAGCCCAAGCTGACTCACTTAAGAACATTTGGGTGCAAATGCTATGTTCTCAACAATGGAAAGGATCAACATGGAAAATTCGATGCCAAGAGTGATGAAGGAATTTTTTTGGGATACTCTTCTCAAAGTAAAGCTTACAAGGTATACAATAAGTGAACTCAGTGTGTAGAGGAGAGTGTACATGTAATATTTGACGAGTCCTACCTCTCCTATGAGAAAAGCAACAAGGATGATCAAGATGGAGAGCCTCTGCTAGTTCCAGGGGAGGTCATTGATATGGCAAATGAAAAGGCAGATATGATGAGTCAAGTAAAGAAGACAAGTGAAGACAATGTTGTCTCTTCCTCATCAGCCGGAGAGGAACCATGTACTATAATTGCAACCGCTGAAGCTGAAGAAAGAGTGGTTGATGCAGTTCGAAGTACTCCACAAGTAGCTGAAAGAAGGGAACCACTCAGATTTACCCAGCTCCTCTACAAATGAAGCTCAAGTGCCCAAATGGAAACACAAAATCTCCCATCCTCTTGACAACATAGTTACCCCTCTGGATTCAGGAGTGCAAACCAAATCAGAAGCCAGAAATTCACTTGCCTTCTCATCCTTTCTTTCCCAAATAGAGGCCAAAAACATTAATGAAGCCTTAAAAGATGCAGACTGGATCATAACAATGCAAGATGAGCTATATAAATTCGAAAGGAACAAAGTTTGGCACCTGGTACCTAGACCCTCAGATCGCACCATCATAAGAACCAGGTGGGTATTCAGGAACAAGCTTGATGAACATAGGAACACTACAAAGAACAATGCAAGGTTAGTTGTCCAGGGCTACAATCAGGAGGAAGGAATTTGATTATGATGAGACTTTTGCTCTGGTTGCTCGCATTAAAGCTATCAGAATCCTCATTGCCTTTGCATCCCATCTAGAATTCACTCTGTTCCAAATGGATGTCAATAGTGCATTTCTGAACGGTTTCCTCAAAGAAGAAGTCTATGTAAAGCAACCTCAAGGTTTTGAATATCATGAATACCCCGATCATGTGTTCAAATTGGATAAGGCAATGTATGGGTTGAAGCTGGCTCCTCGAGCTTGGTATGAAAGATTGTTTCTCTTAGAAAATGGCTTTACAAGAGGAAAAATTGACAACACTTTGTTTCTGAAGAAACGAGGGAGGAACCTGCTCATTGTTCAGGTATACGTTGATAATATCATTTTTGGGGCCACAACTGATTCACTATGTGAGGAATCTGCAAAATTCATGGAAGTGAGTTTGAGATGAGCATGATGGGTAAGTTGAATTTCTTCTTGGGTTTTCAAGTGAATCAGTACACAAAAGGAACATTCATCAGTCAGCAAAAATATATCAAGGAGCTTCTGAAGAGGTTTGATATGGAAGCATCAAAAGTGATTGACACTTCCATTGCTACTGCTACTCGACTGGACATGGATGAATCTAGATCTCCTGTAAATCAAACCATGTATAGAGGTATTATTAGGTCTCTTCTCTATCTCACTGCCAGCAAACCAAATATTGTCTTTAGTGTGGAACTATATGCAAGGTTTCAGTCAAATCCCAAGGAATCTCATCTGAAGGCTGCCAAGAGAATTTTGAGATATCTTAAGGGAACACAGGACATGGTCCTATACTACCCTTCAGGTGACAATTTCAATCTCATTGGGTATGTTGATGTTGACTATGCAGTCTATCTTGTGGACAGGAAAAACACATATGGAATGGCTCACTTTCCAGGGTCATGCCTCATTTCATGGGGCACAAGGAAGCAGAATTTAGTTGCTTTTTCAACAGCTGAAGCAGAATATGTTGCTGCAGCTTCCTACTATGCTCAGCTCCTATGGATCAAACAACAATTGGAAGATTTTGGTGTGTACACTGACTGTGTGCCTCTTCTATGTAACAACACAAGTGCACTCAACATGACCAAGAACCTGGTCCAGCATAAAAGAACCAAGCACATTGATGTGAGACAACATTTTCTCAAAGACAATGTGGAGAAGGGGCCTATATGTATGAAGTTCTGTAGTACAGAAGATCAAATTGCATATATCTTCACTAAAGCATTAAGCAGAGAACATTTTGAGAGAAATAGGCTGGAACTGGGGCTAATAAGGCCTAATTGAGAACCCGATTCCTACCTTATGGCTATGAAAGTCACACTCAGGTAAAATTAGCTAAAGTGTTTTCCGACCAAGTCTAATTCACTTCAATACCGTTGCAAGTAGACATGCATGATGATTATAGAAGATGTAAAAGCACTGCATGAGCGGTAAAAAAGGGTGGAGAATTTTTGAAAGACTGGTCAAGAACCTGATTATTGTACCACAGGTTAGTAGTCTCATACTTTTCTCATACATATCTCAAAAAGAAACAAAAAGGTAAGTGCTACGTTACCAACCTTTTCAGACCCTGCATGTCATGTCTTTTCGTTCAAATCCCTTCACTTCCCTCTGAAACGTTGCACCTTCCCAAAAATCTACCGCCGTTTCAGAACCCGTTTCTCTCTCCCTCATAATTTCCCTCTTCTTTATTAAAACCCTCTGATCTCCAAACCTTGAACGATCATCTCTCTCTTTCTCAGCCTCTCCAGAACTTTCAAAATTAATTATCCGCCATGGCTGAAAATCAAACAACCCTTCCCACATCTCCTGAGAAAACCATCGACTCCTTCGGTCCTAGTGAAACATCTCTCAACATTCCCATTGAAGCACCTAAACATGATTCTCCTTCACCCTTTGTCTCTCTCACCACTCCCTTAGACACTTCTCTCCCTCTAAGTGTTGAGAACTCAAAAACCCCCAAACTCAATAGTTTATCATCTCTGTCACCTGAGATTCTCGTAGAACAAAAGAAAAATGGAGAACAGAATGAGACTCCACATGGAGAAAAGGTTTCTGAGGTTAGTGTTCATCAGTCTTCAAGTACTCTTATCTCAAAGTTTGTTGCACCCATGGAATCGTAGGAGACAAAGGACATATAAAACATATTGACCGTATCTGCTTAAGGAATAATGTATGGGGTCACATCTACTATGCCTGAGTCTCATGGGGAAGAGACTCAGTCATTGGTGGGAGAAGGAATTGTGTTGCTATTTGAAAATCCTGCACCAAAAGAAACTACTGGGACCCTTCTTGAAGGACTTGACCCCTCTCCTAAGGAAACAGGTCAAGGATCCTCTTCCCAAGTCAGTTTCGACCCTACTCCTTCTCCTCACTTTGATGTTGAGCCTTTAGAAGTTTTGGCTCCTGCTATGAGGTCCAGTGATGAAGAAGATCAGGATAATGTTGCTCTAGATGCGTTCATTGCCAAAAGGAGGCCAGTAGCCACTCCTGAGCCCTCTCCTAAGCGACTTACTACTAGGTTGCAGACAAAGGAGCCTATTGAGTCTGCCCTGCAGAAGAGTAAAAGGAGTAGCAAGAAGAAGAAAAAGAGGCTGGTGAAAAATGAAAAAGTTGTGTTTGACAAGAACATTCGTGTAGTGGAAGTGGATGAGGAAGCTGTAGAGGAACCAAGTTCCATAGTCAAGAGATCTCAGAAAAAGAAACAATCCACTGAAAATGCTTCAGAGGAGGATGTTGGAATGCCAAGTACAAAGTCGGTGAAAAGTAATGACAAGTTGAAACAACTGGTGGCTGAAGAGTCACTTCTGATGAGGATATTCTAGTGAAATCAAGTGGAAATGATAAGTCTAGTGTGAAGTCTGGTAAAAGAAAGTTGAAAACTGTGAAGGAACCTAGTTCTGTGAAGAAAGTGAAACATGAAAGTATGTCTGGTAAAGAAAAGTTGAGGTACCAGAAGGTTCTGTGGGGTCGCACATTTGACTCAGTGTAGAAATGTAATTTTTGACCCTCCCGGAAATTTTATACCATTTAGTGCTTAGATGTTGGTTTTAGGCCTAATATCACTTTTGACCTTTTTCTTGTTTTATTTAATCTTATAAGTTAAAAAAAACTACAAAAATATTTGCTTTGTTTAGCTTATTGATAATTTTACTAGTTAGTTTTATTTTATTTGTTCTTTAAAAAAAGATAAAAAAGGAAAAGTTTCAAAAATACTTTACTTAGTAGTTTGAATTTTAAGTTCTAGGTCTTATATAAGTATTGAGTAGTATTTAAGTTTCTTTAATATAGATATCTTAATTTCTTTTAACTATTCTCAATTATTGTAAATAACTAGCATTTTGTGATTAATATTTTTAAAAAGAAAAAGAAAAAAAGAATGAGTGAATTGAAAACAAATAAAAAAAGAAGAAGAAGAAGAAGGAAACATGAATAAAGAAAGAATTGGAAAAAGCCAAAATCAAGAAGACATAATTGAAGGTGGTCCCCTCTCTTTTTCCTATACTCACGTACCCCTTCTTCCATTACATTCCTTTTCTTTCTTCTAGCCAATAAAAGATTGTCACATCACTCCTCTACAAGATTCCTTTCAACAACTCCACATGCACCTTTTTTTTAATTCCGACTCACGTTATTGCCCAGGGCCCCCACGATTTTTCTTGGAAAATTCTCTTTCTTTCCAAACACTGATATATACACATAGAGAACATACAAAAGAGGATAGAGAGCAGATTAGAGAGAGGGAGGAATAAAAAAAGACTGGTCTGCTTCTCCTTCCTCCATGAAAATCAGTCCAAAAGTCTCTCAAAATGCCACGTAAAGCTCTAAAAAGACTACAAAAAAACGCAGCCCAAATCTCCCTCTTTAGTCAACTTCCTCAGCCTCTAAGCTCACCAAAAACCAGCTGAAAACCCATCCGAAATCAGCTCCAAAATTTCTCAAACACCACTAAAACATCACCACCCAAATAGCAGCAAAAAACTGGCCAAAATCCCGGTGAAACAACAATCTCTTTTTAACAAAATTAGCTGCTGCCGAACTTCTAAATCCAGCTTAAAACTCGCCAGAATTTTGGTCGATATTTCGAGTGAAGCTATGGTTCCGGTTCAAAGTCCTGTTCGCGTTTTATGCTCTAAAATGGTTGCTGTTTTGGTCTTTGACAGCTGGACAATCATCATATATGTACAAAACTTTGCTTGGATTTCCCTCGTAAATAAAGTTTGGTCTGAGGTAGGTCTGTTTCTCCATATCTTGTTTCAATGGTATTAAGCTTGTTTTAGTTGGAAGGCTTTTAAATTAATGTTTTGATTTATTTTTCTGTTTAGTTTCTTGTAAATATTTTCCCTTTTGCTTTGTGTATTTCATTTGCATTTAGCTTAATTATTTTTGAGAGTCTTATGCTTGGTTTGGTGTTATCTCGTGTTCGTTTACTGCGTCTTCTCTGTGTTATGGATATTGCAAAGTTGCTGCCCACTCCCCAAAATCCCAGCTTCAAGTTTTTTATCTGCTCACTATCACTATCGTCTCACTGGTGATACTGTAATCTCTTGCTATCTGAAAATTAAGTGAATTGCTTACACATTAGTATTGATGGTATTTCTTTGCTTGAGTCGTCCATGTCCTAAAGAGCAGAAAGCACATATCAGCAAGTATAACTCATTTAACTATAATAATAAATCCAGAGGAGCTATAGGAAAATCTGCTATTCAACTTAAGCAAAACAAGGAGCTTGCAAATTAAAAGATAGTTTTTCTGTTAATTATGCTTGTTTTAGTCCGTTTTTCAATAGCATTGGATGAGAACAACTAAGTTTGGTATGAAATACTTTCCTTCTCAAAGCCTGCGCATTTTCTGTCACTTTTGGATAACCTATGTACTACTCAGGCAAAAGTATTTTGCTCATCATTCGGATAATGCACTGAGGAAACACCTATCAAAAATAACAACAACAACAACCCAGTATAATCCCACTTAGTGGGGTCTGGGGAAGGTAGTGTGTACGCAGACCTTACCCCTACCCTAGGGTAGAGAGACTGTTTCCAAATAGACCCCCGGCATCCTTCCCTCCAAGAACTTCCCACCTTGCTCTTGGGGAGACTCGAACTCACAACCTCTCGGTTGGAAGTGGGGGTTGCTTACCATCAGAGAAACCCTCAACGATTAATATTCCAAAAAAACCCCGATAGAATGCTCTAGGTGCATTTTAATAAATTATCATGATTATGTACGCGTTCGAGTGGTGTAATTATGATTTCCAAAATAATAAATCGAGGTATGCGTTTGCACAACTTCGGCCAAATTTTCTTAATAATTAATAAAACGTGATTAATTGTGGACACGTACGTGTGACATAATTTTTGACGCGCCAAATGAAATGAGTACACGTACGCGTGACGCAATTCTTTACTTACGAATAGTCAAGCAATTAAAAGTGGTAAAAGGATAAATGCACATAGGTTCTAAAAATAGGTAATTAGACAATTTAAGCCAAGTATAAATTGCTAAGCGACCGTGCTAGAACTACGAAACCAGGGAATGTCTAACATCTTCTCCTGGGTTAACAGAATTCCTTATCTAGAATTTCTCATTCACAGACTTTTAAATAAAGTCGAAATTTCCTCGATTTGAAATTTAAAATAAACGGGTGACTTGGGACACCAAATAAACTATTCCAAGTGGCGACTCTGATAAAAATAAATAAAATAATCCCATTTCGAATTATGTCACTTTAATTGGAAAAACTCTCATATACCCTCTCGGGGTCTAAAAAGGAGGTGTGACAGCTCTGGTGACTCTGCTGGGGATAAGAACCCAGAACTTTCGGTTCAGGGTTCAAGAATTCGAGCTTGTTAAATATGATTTTATTTGGCTTTATTGTTGATATTATTGTATCTGGTGGGCTTAATGTGCTAATTGCCATTTATATACTGCTTTGATATTTCTTGAACTGTATTTAAATGTCTTCTTACGCCTCCTTCATGAGTCTTCTGAAAAATGGTGCTCACGTTCGCGTGGCCCACTTTTCTGTTAGAGTTATACCAAATAGAATAGGGCTGGGCAAGCAACAAGGCCGGACAGACTTTCGTGCTCCCGATACAATGCCCCTTCCTCGACTCGAGTTTGTCCGCTCGGATAAGCCAGATCTAGAACACAACCCCAGGTTTAAACCTAGAATAATACAACCTCATGCCAGATCCCTAGTAGCAACGCTTGATTTTATTTCAGACATAGGGTCTCTACTCCCTAGTCGTTTTTCCAACATAGGGTCTCCACTCCCTAGTTGATTTTATTTTAGACATAGTGTCTCCACTCCCTAGTTACTTTTCCAACATAGAGTCTCCATTCCCTAGTTGATTTTATTTTAGACATAGAGTCTCCACTCCCTAGTCGCTTTTCTAACATAGGGTCTCCACTCCCTAGTTGAAGTTATTTTAGACATAGGGTCTCCACTCCCTAGTCGCTTTTCTAACATAGGGTCTCCACTCCCTAGTTGAAGTTATTTTAGACATACGGTCTCCACTCCCTAGTTACTTTTCCAATATAGGGTCTCCACTCCCTAGTTGATTTTATTTTAGACATAGTGTCTCCACTCCCTAATCGCTTTTCCAACATAGGGTCTTCACTCCCTAGTTGAAGTTATTTTAGACATAGGGTCTCCACTCCCTAGTCGTTTTTCCAACATAGGGCCTCCACTCCCTAATTGAAGTTATTTTAGACATAGAGTCTCCACTCCCTAGTCACTTTTCCAACATAGGGTCTCCACTCCCTAGTTGATTTTATTTTAGGCATAGGGTCTCCACTCCCTAGTCTGTTTTTCAACATAGGGTCTCCCCTCCCTGGTTGAAGTTATTTTAGGCATAAGGTCTTCCTCCATAGTTTGGTTTTCCAACATAGGGTCTCCACTCCCTAATTGAATTCTATTTTAGATGGGTTTCCATCCCTAGTCGCTTTCTAACATAGGCTATCCACTCCCTAGTTGAATTTACTTTAGACATAGGGTCTCCACTCCCTAGTTTGCTTTTCCAACATAGGGTCTCCACTCCCTAGTTGATTTTATTTTAGACATAGGGTCTCCACTCCCTAGTTTGCTTTTCCAACATAGGGTCTCCACTCCCTAGTTGATTTTATTTTAGACATAGGGTCTCCACTCCCTAGTCGCTTTTTCAACATAGGGTCTTCACTCCCTAGTTGAAGTTATTTTTATACATAGGGTCTCCACTCCCTAGTCTGCTTTTCTAACATAGAGTGTCCCTTCCCTAGTTGATTTTATTTTAGACATAGGGTCTCCACTCCCTAGTCGCTTTTCCAACATAGGGTCTCCACTTCCTAGTTGAATTTATTTTAAACATAGGGTCTCCACTCCCTAGTCTGCTTTTTCAACATAGGGACTCCACTCCCTAGTTGATTTACTTTAGACATAGTGTCTCCACTCCCTAGTTGATTTACTTTAGACATAGTGTCTCCACTCCCTAGTCACTTTTCTAACATAGGGTCTCCACTCCCTAGTTGAAGTTATTTTAGACCTAGGGTCTCCACTCCCTAGTTACTTTTCCAACATAAGGTCTCCACTCCCTAGATGAATTTACTTTAGACATAGGGTCTCCACTCCCTAGTTGAAGTTATTTTAGACCTAGGGTCTCCACTCCCTAGTTACTTTTCCAACATAAGGTCTCCACTCCCTAGATGAATTTACTTTAGACATAGGGTCTCTACTCCCTAGTCGCTTTTCCAACATAGGTTCTTCATTCCCTAGTTGATTTTATTTTAGACATAGGGTCTCCACTCCCTAGTTGATTTTATTATAAATATAGGGCTCCACTCCCTAATCTCTTTTTCCAAAGGATACACAATCCTGATTTTATTGCTTTCAATAAAGAAATAGTTTAGAGTTTTGTTACAAATAACTTACAAAATTTTTCTTGTGAAAACTAGGGCAGAAAAGTTTGTTCGTTTGTCTGTTTTGGTGCCTGAACAGGTTTTCACCGTGAGGCACAAAGTTTGAGATTCCCAAAAGAAGAAGTCTCAACCCAAATAAAAGAAAAGAAGAACAAGAAAAGAAGTTGAACTCTAAGTATAAAAGCGGAGAAAGGATGCGAACTGCCCAAGATATGATTGAAGTCACAAGCTTTTCATGTCCCGCCTTGATCCGAAGAGCTGAAGAAAAATGAACATGCGTTTGCAGCTAACGAGCATCAAAATTCAGATCGGAGTCTGCAAGAAGAACCAGCCAAGACTCAAGATCATGCTTCAGAAGATTTATCGATAGGAATCTTATAACTCATAGCTGATAGGTTTAGTTAGTCTTTTTATATTTTGATTTTGATGTAATAAAAGGACTACAGACTGGAGCCTCAACGGAACCTCACTTGACTCTCAAACTCATCACTCCATCATCCTTCCAGAACTACACCGACCTAATTCCTTTATAGCCAAGGATATGTAGGCAACGTCCCAAGCAAGGTTCGGTCAAACCTTTTCAAAATGCTTCCAAATGGAGTTTCAAACGGGTAAAAATTGTTCGTAATTATCTCTGCCCAAAAACTCTTCATGTTTCTGAGGAAAGAGGGGCAGTTGTGAGCACCTAATTTTTGTCTTACATAAAAATAACTCCTAAAAATAAACCAAAAATGATATTTAAGGGATTTTAGAAGTTTTTCTTTATTTAGTTGCATTTCATGCATTTTTAATATTTTAAAATCATAGAAAATGATAAAAAAATGTCACATTTTAATTTCATGTCATTTTAGGTCCAATTTGCATGTAGGAATTAATTTTATTAAGAACAATCACAAAAATGGTCATTTTTACATATTTAGCTTTTAGTCTTTAGAAAGTAGTGTTTTTATTTAGTTATTTTAATAGATAAATAATTTTAATTTTTACAAATTAGATTGATTTAGGATTAATTTAGGATTTTATTAGATTTTAAAATCAAAGAAAAAAAAATGGAAAAAAAGATTTTGATTTAATCTTCCTACTCCAAAGTTAATTAGCCCAAATTCATGACCCAAATCCCTTCAAGCCCAAAACATTGAGCCCATATCCATTCCCCATTTAACCTAACCTAATTCCTACCCCTATAAAATAACACTTAACTTCTAAAATCAAAAAGACCAAAAACCTAGAGCGGGGAAATAATTTTCAGACGCACCCCCTCGAAAAGAAAAAGAAGTGAAGAACGATAGTGGCCAACTATCTGGACTCCCTTCAAAAAATTGATCCAAAAATCTTAATCTCCAAGAAAAGCAGCAGAGCATTGCCATTCCCTCGAGGCCAAATCCATTCAAAGAAAAGAATAGAAAAAAAGAGTTCACCTAACCACTTTCCATTAAAACAAACAGCAATAGCCATTTTCTTTCCATTGCCACCTTCACTAATTTCGTACTCATGCAATTTTTGCCAAGGCCATCGATTCATCCCGTCGACAGCTCTTGGAGGTCCTTCGCCGGAAATCTTTGACTGGGGGAACACGGAAAAACAGAGAATGAGAGTAAGAGGGAGGCGGCGAGTTTCAGTCTAGAAATCGAGTGAACAGTAGCTTCGAGCCTGGGTTACGAGTTTTCCGATGTCGATTCGAGGTTCCGGTTCGCGATTTCAAGGAGTCAAGCTTAACTTAGGTCCGTTTTTGTTAAATTTGGATCTTCATTTTGCAGTTCATCTTGTACTGATTTGGGCCTGAGATTCTGCCATTTTGGAAATTCACATGTTAGTGTTATTTTATCGTTATTTGTGTAATTTGTTTGTGTTTGTTATTTTGTGATATTTGTGTTGTCTATGTTAATATCGAGTTTGGAGATGAATAACTGTGGACATAGAATCAGCATTTTTGTTTCCCCCATTTTTTGATTTGGTCTTGTTACTAAGTTAATAACTGTACAACCGTTCTTTCCCAATTGTGAATGTTTTGTTTTTCCTGTCTATAGACAGAATATTTTTTTTGCCCGACTTTAATACATGCGTGCACATATGAGCATTCTATCCAGTTGAATTCTTAATTTATATTCAAGATTGAGTCTTTGTTCATCCAGCAAAGGAGGGAATTCTATTTTCTTGAATTTGCAAGCTGGTTTCTTGGATGTTGACATGAATTTATTAAAGGAGTTTAAAGTTTAAACTATGTACCATTGTGATTTTTGGTATTGAGATTCATGCTTGGAGTGAGCCAATGGAGCTTACCCAAATGCAAATAAGAATAAGTGTCGTCTCTTTCCATAATTGCCAGTATACTTTTAGGCACGCCCCTAATTAATCCAATTATAGTGATTATGTATACGTTCGCGTAGCATAAGTCTAGGGATGCGTTTGCACAACTTCAACCAACTTTTCTTAAATAAATAAACAAAGCGTTATTAATTGTGGACACGTTCGCATGACATGATTTTGACGCGCCATAGGAAAAGAGTATACGTACGCGTAACTCAATTCTTTAATTACGAATAATCAAGCAATTAAAAGCGGTTAATAGATAAATGCACATAGGTTCTAAAAATAAGTAATTAAACAATTTAAGCCAACTATAAATTGCTAAGCGACCGTGCTAGAACCACGGAACCCGGGAATGCCTAACACTTTCTCCTGGGTTAACAGAATTTCTGGTTCGCAAACTTTTAAATAAAGTCGAAATTTCCTCGATTTAGGATTTTAAAATAAATCGATGACTTGGGACACCAAACAAACTATTCCAAGTGGCAACTCTGATAAAAATAAATAAAATAATTCCATTTCGAATTATGTCACTTTAATTGAAAAAACTCCCATATACCCTCTCGGGGTGTAAAAAAGGAGGTGTGACAGCTCTGACAACTCTGCTGGGGATAAGAACCCAGAACTTCCGGTTTTGGGTTCAAGAATTTGAGCTTGTTAAATGTGATTTTATTTGGCTTTATTGTTGATATTACTGTATTTTGTAGGCTTAATGTGCTAATTGCCATTTATTTACCACTTTGATATTTGTTGAACTGTATTTATTTGTTTTCTTACACCTCCCTCCTGAGTCTTCTGAAAAACAGTGCTCACGTTCGCGTGACCCACATTTTTGTTAGAGTTATACCAAATAGAATGGGGTTGTGCTCTCGGTATGTTGCCCCCTCTTCGACTCGAGTTTGTCAGCTTGGGTAAACCAGGTCTAGAACACAATCCAAGGTTTAAACCTAGAATAACGCAACCTCATGCAGGATCCCTAGTAGGAATGTTTGTTTTCATCACGTGCATTTGATCTTAGGGACTCAACATAGGGGTTGGGTCGGTCTAGGACAGGTGTACCCAAAATAACAGACCATCCTGATGCATCCTACATGCTATATGAATATTTATTTGTTTCGGCTTGCATGTTGACCGGCTAGGAAAAGTAAATCAAGAGAAAAAAATAAAGAGTGAGGTAGGATAGAGAAATTACCCGGTTCTAAAAATTCCGGTATTTGAAAATGTCTCGAAACTCTGCCAAAATTTTTGAAGAAAAGAATGGGAAAAAAGGAAAATGTATTTCAAAAAATAAATAAATGAAAGTGAGTCAATATCATGTTTTTTCCAATTATGTCAAAACTGAACAAACTACACGGGTCTGATTCTCACCGGATGTGAGATACGTATGCAAACCTCATCAGTTCCGACCCTAATTTTCAAAAATCCAAAAATATTTTCCTTTAGAAATCTTTCCTTAGTAAATTCAAAAAAAAGGAAGTTTATAAAACTCAAAAAAAGTAGTTTCCTTCTTTCTGGAGTATTTCATACGAGTTTTCTTTGTTTTGAAGTATTTTTCCAAAAAATTTAAAAAAAATCAAAAAAAGAATCCAAAAAAAAAAGAAAATATTCTTTTCCTTATTTAAAAGTATTTCTTTCGTAAATGTCAAAAAAAAAATTGAAAAAATTGAAGTCCAAAGATATTTTCGTTTTTCTTTAGAAGTGCTTTTGTAAATAAATAAAAACTCAGAAATCCAAAATATTTCATTACAAGTCCCTCTTTCGAAAATTAAGAGGCAACATCCAAAATCCAAAACTATTTTCTTTCTTCTTTAGAAAAAGAGAAAACAAATGAAAATTCAAACAACAATATTTTCTTTTTACTTTTAAAATTCTCAAAGTTCAAACCAAAAGCAAATAAATTTTTAGAAGTCTTTCTTTTAAAAACAAAACAAAAATCAAAAAAAATATTTCCTTTCTTCATTTAAAGCATTTTTTTTCAAAATTGCAACAAAAAAAAATAATTTATTTACTCCATTTTTGATCTTCCCGAACTACGCAAGATCTGATTCATGCGGCGTCATGATACGTAGACAATCTCCATCAGATTCGATCATAGCCTTAGAGTTAATTGAGTGAAAAATAAACAGAAAAAAAGAAAGAAAGAAAGAAAACAAAAATTGAGTGAAAAAGAAAAAAGTGAAAAAAAAGAAGAAAGAAAGAGAGTGATAAAAATAAAAGAGTGACAGAAAAGAACTGAAAAAAAATCAAGAGTGATTAAAGAGAGGCAGAAATAAAAGAAGAGAGGTACATACTGAAGGGGTTAGTTAAGGCCGGAATGAAACATGTAACCGTTCAAACACATGGTAGAAGCGTTTAACTGTTAGGTGCATTGCATCCAAACGTGCGATTTCCTATATGTTAAGTAGGGCTGTGCATAATTTGGTATATACCGAATTACTATACCGAAATCGAAAATTTTGGTATTTGGTATACAGTATTTTGGTATTTGGTATGGTATTTGGTTTAAGTTTAAAAAAAAATTGGTATTAGGTATGGTATTTGGTATTTTAAAATAAAATATCGAAATATCGATACCGTACCGAAATATATATTATATTACACAAAACATATATAACCAATTGTCACACCTCCTTTTTCCGTACCCGAGAGGGTACAAGGGAGTTTTTCCAATTAAAGGACAATCGAAACAGGATTTATTTATTTATTTCAGAGTCGCCACTTGGGAGATTTAAGGTGTCCCAAGTCACCAATTTTAATCCCGAATCGAGGAAAAGAATGACTCCATATTACAGTCTGCGTACCAGAAATCCGGA